GATTAACATAAAGTTAACTCCATCCGAAAAATACTCCGATGAAGCCGCAACTGATCTAACTAAATGATATGTTGGGTGACTAAAACATCATATGGAGTAGCACTGAATTGAAGCTCATAGTAAGAACTTCCTCCAAATTTGGACGAATTCATCTGAAAATTCGATTCGATCGGCACAAGAGATGGTCTCGCAATCTATTTGTACCATGCCGGCGGGGACTTTCTGGCAAGATAAAGAAATGTCATCATAAGCACCATGCACCAAATTGAAAATTAGAGTAGGAGAATTCTAAATATTCAAAATTCTTATCAGAAAATTTTGTTTGAATGTAGGCACCAGAGTAAAGAACAGATTAAAGTGTTGTTCCTGCCTTTTGAATTTCGGTGACAATAAAGAAAGCTTGTGTTTATAAATTCCTGAAATCTTTACCCGTTAAAAACCTTATGTATGCATGGTATATCTGGAAGGTTGTGTCAAATTATAGTTGAGTTTGACCAAAAATTAAAAATTTTATATGTTAGCTAAACTGGACAATAATTTTGGGGCAGAGAGAGTATTAAAGAGTCAATACAAATTTGATTCCAAATTTGGTTAGACCCATGTCAATATCATGTGCAAAATCAAAAGGTTTCCACATATGAATCGCCATCTTGAGTCAGTTATACGTTGCCGAATCGTCGTGATCAGTGTGCCTCGTTTTTTCTTGTTAAAAACTTTTGTGGTTCCTCATGCATTCAATCTCCTCTTTTACCTTCCCTCTCAAATCCCAATTTTCTGCCTGTTCCTTTCTTATATTCCCGTTGAACAACCGATTAGAATTCTATGACAAACATCGCTTCTTCTTTAAGTCGTATTTGCAACTCAAAAGGCATCCCTCAGCCGTTCCTCTTGGTCAAGATTAGTAGTATATTTTGCAATCTTCGATTTCTTTATGTAATTCAATTATGGTCTTATAATTGTTGTAGGAATAATTCACTAACTAATGATATATGTTGTATTTTTTTTTGGTTAAATTACTGTGAGGACTAATTTTTGAATCATGATAGAGCATTGAAATTTTCAAATAATCTGAAGGATTTACGGGAGTTCTTGATTGTTGTTTCTTTCTAGAAAGAGGCTGTTTTTATTAGTTATGAGGTTTCTGCCTCCTTTCTTCAATGGGTAGGTTTCAAATGCTTCTCGCTTACACTTTTTGATTTGCTTAATCCATGCTAGTAATTGTGTCACTTCATGTTTTTCCTACTACCATTTTATGATTTTGAAATTATGGAATTATAAATAGGAGGTTATACTATGTTATTGTGGAAATAAATCGTTCACTGTGTAGGTTTTTGATGCTCCTCTGTGACACTTTTTGGTTTTTTTTAAATTCGTGCTTTTGCAGCGTTTCTCTAGGTTGTTTCCAATTACTACTCTATGATTTCAAATTATGGAACTCTTAATGATACTCTCTCTGTCGCGAAAAGATTGTCCCATTTAGATTTTCATTTTCGAGCAAAACAATATTTTGAGCAAATTAGAATTCTGCATTAGGAATTTCCAAGTTGCTGATTTCATTTGCACCTGTTTTGCTCATTTTTTTTTTATAGATTCTGTTTGTTGGCAGCATACATAACACTTGTAGAAGCAAGAAGGGAGTTTAGTGAATTGGCTTCAATTTTGACGCTTTCAATACGTAGGAATCACCTTGGAAGTTCCTTCCATCTAATGTCCTATTAACTCCATTAGGAACTTGGTTCATTTGATAGGTAGTAACTTTTCTCTTTGTACGGGGTAAGTCTTAAGCACTGCCCCGAGAATTTTTTGCCCTATTAATAAATTTTCCAGGTACTTACCTGGTTTTGATTAAAAAAAAAGGTAGTAACTTTTTATTTTTTATTTCTTTTGTCAGAAACCAAAAGTTCTACTAAAATCTTTCTTTATCTAACAACATTGATGCAACTTTGAGTACTCCTACATATTCTGTGTTCCTGCTTTTCAAGCGATTAGCAAAAGTTGCAATATCAACTTATTTCTACTTGTCTATGTACTGAAAACTTCCACAAATGTTTACATTGATCTTTAAAATGTTAGGTTTTTTTTTTTTTTCAAAAATTATGTATCAACTAGGCATGATTAATTTTAACATGCATGGCGTGGTACACAAGTTAGCTAGTTCTAAAAAAATCTACAATGTAACTTGATTAGATCATGCACGCTTTTATCTGTTCAAATGCATTCTTATTCCTTTTAGTTTTTTTTTATGTTAGGGAAGACAACGACTTCTTTTATTTAATATACTCTTGATAGTTTCACTTCTTCTATGTAATTGTTGTGTTTTCATAAAACTTTTTGGCGGGCCCCTAATTGTTGTGTTGCCTATCGTGCCACTCATCTGATTGGCAACAAGCGTTGATTCCAACCATTGATGCAATCACAAAGAGCCTTTCTCTGACCACGTGTCATTTTGCCTTGTGCTGAGATTATGTGGAGCCACCGCATCTCTTACTGGTGTATACTACCCAGTTGGTGTGTCCTTCCACACTCAATTCTTTTCCATATTTGGTCGGTCAACCAACTTTAATCGCGTTTCAATATTAGTCTTGGTCCAATAGTTCCATCCACACTCAATGGGTCAAGTGTCTTAACCGCCTAACACATTGTTTCAAAAGCAAATGGGAATCCTTGAAGTTTTCCTATGTAATATTGTTCTTAAATAAAAATTTTTTTTTTTAAATTTTTTTTTTGGTATTGTTCAAGAGTTCACAAACATTTGTCAAAGAGCGTACAATGTGTGTGTGGATGTGTGGTTTTATTTTTTTTTTTAATTTTTTTTCAAACGTGCAATATTAAACACACAAATGTGCAATATCATGATAGTTAAATAACACGACTTGACCCAAAATAGAAATTATATTGCAAAAGATGAATAAAACTTAGGTAACTAACTAGAGATCATATCATCATATTATTAATGGTGATAAATTTAGATATTTATCAATGATGAATATTACTTAGTTTGTCCAACATGTAGCATAATACTAATTTTAATATTACATTGGACTTACTAGAATGGAGAAAAAAGTAATTTTGGATGTAAACAAAAACAGAAATAAAACTAGCTATAAACTAACGTTTACTTCCTGGATGAGAATTTTCAAAATTTTCAAATTGGATAATTACATATGATATTTCTTAAAAATGGATAATTTTAACCCCTAACTAGCTAAGATCATCAATTGACTAGAAGTAACTCTTGAAGGTAGATGGACCGAAAATTTTGCATTTACAGATAATATTAGAATTCCAAAAAAAAAAATTAATTGTTTTTTTTTTAAAAAAAAAAATTGCCACCCTGCTTCTTCTTCCTCCTAGCCAACGACACTACTACCGACAACCACTTACCAAGCACCAGTTACCTCTTTATTTTAAATTACATCAACCACATTCATACACACCGTCCTCCACAAATCCTTCCAAAAACTATAACTGTTACTCCTCCCTCTATTATCAAACGATTTTTATTTCTATACCAATCACTTAAAAATGATCCATGTCCAAGCCTAACGCATTATAAACATTCAAAAATTGCACGGATAGGTCGAAAAAAATGAAGAAGAAACTATAAGAATCAAATAAGAGAAAAAAATTGCACGGATAGGTTGGAAAAAAAAATGAAGAAGAAACTCTAAGAATCAAACAAGAGAAAGGAGTTAATTTAAGAATTCATGGAGCTCCGGGATGGTCTCCGCATTAAATATTCTCCAATCGCTAAACCAAAGGACAAAATTGTAAATATCTTATAATTTTGGCACCAGAAGAAGTCTAATTGTGTCGCACCTACTGGAGGTACTCATATACTTACATTCAGAAGAATGTATTGTAATATATTGTGTACAATTATTTAATTTAATATCTAACTGAATTAAAAATATTACAATGTTAAATATAAGATTTTCATAATATGTATTTCTTAGGTTCTTTTATTCTTAAAAATCTAATAATTTTTTATATGTTCAAAAAACATCTATGTTTTTTTTTTTTGGTTGTGTTAATTTAAGGATCTCAATTATATGTGTACGCTGGACTTCTTTTCTAATTTTCGCCTTCCTAATGCAGGAACTACCTTTCATCTGTCTCAATACAAGAGATTTTCCTTACATGGGACCATGATGATCTATCTATGCGGGCAAAAGTGAGTACTTCGGGTTTCTTGATATTTGTTTATTTATTTATCCTCTGATCCTAATTCACTTGGCATATTTTTAACTGCATGAATACGTTGTCTTTGACATACCTCTTACATCCTTTTGGTCTATTTCTAGGCAGCTAGAATTCTGGTGGTTCTTCTTTGCAAGCATGAGTTTGATGTTCGCTACCAGAAGCCTGAAGACAAGCTCTATATTGCCCAGTTATATTTCCCGTTGGTTGCTCAGGTGTGTACGTTTTATTACATGTGAGAAATGTTTTTGCTACTTGGATTCTCATTTTATAGTAGTCTTTGGAACTTCTGCTCCGCAGATCAATTGTGGATTCGAAAAAGTGAATCCAGAGCATTTTTCCCCGTCAAATCAAGTTGATTATTGGGTAACTGACAATTATTTATGCAGCTATTTGAAAGTACTTTCACCCCCCCCCCCTTCTGAAAACATCTGACTAAACTGAATAATGACCTATTGCACAAAAAGTGTGAGTATGGTAATGAGCGAAAGTGTGTGATATTTTGGTGCCTACAAATGATGCCCAAATTTCTAGAAAAGCTACCAGCAAGCTTTTCCTTTAGTTTCAAATTTGTTTGCAGTATTGAGGTTATCTTCTGTGACTCATTTAATTGATTTTGAGTAATTGAAGATTACTCCACGTTTCTTGTTTCTTATAGACCCTTGGCTTTTAAATTCTATAATGTAATTGATTTTGTTGTCATTACCTTCATATATTCAGATATTTAATTGGAGTTCAGAATCTTCCTGTGTTACTTGCTTTGGCCAGGCATAGTCATCTTATGATTGAAAGTTTGGTCCATGCAGATCTTAGACGAAATGCCTGTTTTCTACAATCTGAGTGGCGTAGAAAAACGTGAAGTGTTGATCATTATTTTGCAAATCCTACGCAATTTGGATGAAGCCTCTCTCGTGAAGGCTTGGCAGCACAGCATTGCTCGTACTAGATTATTTTTCAAACTTTTGGAGGAGTGCCTTATACATTTTGAGGTTAAACTGTTCCTTTGTGTCCTTTGTTTATCTTTTTGCAACATTGCTTCATTCTGATATGGATATTTATGATGTTTGGTGGCTCAGACAATATGTATGGACATACGTGGACATACAGTGATGATTATGTTGCATTTGTAACAATCTCTAAACAACAATATATTATATATATGCAAATGTGGCACTTGTATATTTTTTAGCCAACGTTAAGTGTTGTATTAGGATAATTGATTAAATTAATAAAATTATTGAAATTTGTAATACAATTGATGGACTTGACATATCCTCAATCTATTCTTGCATTGAAATTTGCAAGAATTTATTTTAAATCTTTTTTTCCCCCCTCGAAAATTTCAATTTGTACATCATAAACATGCTTGAGATCAGGTTTTTCTCCATCTTGCAATGTGCTTCTATAATTCATACCTTGTTAACTAACTTGTAGCAACAAATTTTACAGCATCGAAGACCTGCTGATAGCATGCTAATCAACAGCAGCTCTCGCAGTCCTGGCCAGGACAAACCCTCCTCTCCAAAATATTCTGAAAGGCTGTCACCTGCAATTAATCACTATCTTTCTGAGGCAGCAAGACATGAAGTGAGGGTATGTAGTTGTTGAAATCGTCTGTATTTTCTGAATGTTAGTATTTGTATGCACTTTCTGTTCTATCCTGGTTCTCTCTCTCTCTCCTTTTTTTTTTTCCCTTCTTTTCTTTTCTTCTTTTTCTTGCATTCCCGCTGAATTAAGATTTAAAATCTTTCCTCTATCCAGCCTCAAGGAACACCAGAAAATGGCTACTTGTGGCAGAGAGTGAGCTCCCAGTTAAGTTCACCTAGTCAGCCATATTCTTTGAGGGAAGCCCTTGCTCAGGCACAGTCTTCTAGGATTGGTGCTTCTACTCAAGCACTAAGAGAATCTTTGCACCCGGTCTTGAGACAAAAACTGGTATTATTTTGTCTTACTAAGTGTTTCTCTTGAGACTTAATTTTGCTTTCTGATGTATACATGCAACTCCAGGAGCTTTGGGAAGAAAACCTTACTGCGGCTGTCAGTCTTCAAGTTCTGGTAATAGCTGAGAAGTTTTCAAGAACAGCAGCTTCCCACAGCATTGCGACTGATTATGGAAAACTTGATTGCATCACTTCTATATTTATGAATGTCTTCTCGCGCAACCAACCCCTGCTGTTCTGGAGAGCTTTCTTTCCTGTGTTCAACAGTGTCTTTGAACTTCACGGTGCAACATTAATGGCACGGGAAAATGATCTTTTCTTGAAACAAGTTGCATTTCATCTTCTACGTCTGGCAGTTTTTCGGAACGATAATGTTAGAAAAAGAGCTGTTGTTGGTCTTCAGATCCTTGTTCGGGTATGACACTTTTTTGGTGGGTTTTACTCTTTGTGTTTTGTTGTTTCAACTATTTTTTGTTGAATTTTGTTCATGCCTTTCAAAATTGCAGAGCTCTTTCTCGTACTTCATGCAAACAGCACGACTAAGAGTAATGTTGACTATTACTCTTTCTGAGTTGGTGTCTGAGGTGCAAGTGACCCAGATGAAATCAAATGGAACACTTGAAGAAAGTGGCGAGGCACGCCGGTTGAGAAAGTCTCTTGGGGAAATGGCAGATGAATCCAAGAGTCTGCATTTGTTAACCGAATGTGGCCTCCCCGATAATGCACTTGTGTCTCTTCACCAAAACTCATCAGAAAACCGATGGTCCTGGTCAGAAGTCAAACATCTTGCTGAGTATCTTCTTTTGGCTCTTGATGCTAGCTTGGAACATGCACTACTGGTATAACCTGACATCATTCATCAGCAGTTCCCTATATTTTATGAAAATTAAGTTGTACTAATTTTTGCTATCTAATGGTTCATTTGTAGGCATCTGTTATGACGGTGGACCGATATGCTGCTGCAGAGGGCTTTTACAAACTCGCAATGGCCTTTGCTCCTGTGCCAGATCTTCATATAATGTGGTTACCGCACTTATGTGATGCACATCAAGAAATGCAGTCCTGGGCTGAAGCGGCACAGTGTGCAGTTGCTGTTGCTGGCGTCGTAATGCAGGTTAACCCCCCACCCCCAACACACACGAACGCTAAGCAAGGAGTTTCTTGAAGAGTTAAATATTGATGTACATAAAATGTGCAGGCCCTCGTGAGCCGGAATGATGGTGTCTGGAGGAGCGAGCATGTCACTGCTCTGCACAAGATTTGCCCAATGGTCAATAGTGAGATAACTTCTGAGGCTTCAGCAGCGGAGGTGGAAGGCTATGGCGCTTCAAAAGTTACAGTTGACTCGGCTGTAAAATATCTGCAGCTTGCTAATAAGCTTTTCTCTCAAGCGGAGCTCTACCATTTCTGTGCTAGCATTTTAGAACTCGTAATTCCTGTTTATAAAAGCAGAAGGTCATTTGGGCAGCTTGCCAAATGCCACACGATGTTGACCAATATTTACGAATCCATCCTTGAGCAAGAATCAAGCCCTATACCTTTCACAGATGCTACATATTATAGGGTGGGATTTTATGGGGATAAATTTGGGAAGCTAGACTGGAAAGAGTATGTCTACAGAGAACCTCGTGATGTTCGACTGGGCGACATTATGGAGAAACTCAGTCATATATACGAGTCAAGAATGGATGGAACTACATTACATATAATTCCAGATTCTCGGCAGGTCAAAGCGGATGAGTTGCAGCCTGGAGTTTGCTATTTGCAGATAACTGCTGTTGATCCAGTCATGGAAGATGAGGATTTAGGTAGCAGAAGGGAACGGATATTCTCCCTTTCAACTGGAAGCGTCCGTGCACGGGTCTTCGACCGCTTTTTGTTTGATACTTATTGTAATATTTAGTATATTTCCTATTATGTTCTAGTTTAGAGTTTATTATTGTCTATATATAGTCTGTATATTGTGCACAACAGATCATGAATCAAATACAATTTCCCTATTCTAACTTGGTATCGAGCTAGGTTTAACAAAACCTATTTTTTTCTTTTCTCTCCCCCGTCGAATCCTTCTTCTTCGGCCGTTCACACCTCATCTGCCGTCGTCTGCCGCGTTCTTCTGTTCTTCTTCCTCTTCTCTTCGTGCTGCTGCCGGCATGTGCTCCTCTTCTCTTCGTCGGCCGCGTTCTCCCCGTCGACCAAGCTCAGCATCGCCGGCGTGTGCTCCTTCCTCTTCTCTTCCAATTCGTGCTGCTGCTGCCGCCGGTCGTCTTCGTCGGCGTTCGTCCTTTACTTGCGGTCGGTTGGTCCTGCTGCTGCTGCTTTCGTCGGCTCGTGGTTTTGCTGCTGCCGCCGGTCCGCTTTCTCCATTGCCAGTGCTGCTGCTGCCGCTGTTTTCTCTGCCGCCGGCGTGCTTCCTGGCGTGAGTCCTTGCCGCTGCCGGTTGCTGCTCTTCGTTCGGTGATTCGTTCGTTCGGTGTTGGTCGTTGTTGTCGTGGATTCTTAAAATCATTAAACAAAAAAAAAAAGAGAAAAAATAAATCATAAAAAATTCAATTTTGCTTGCTTACTTTCAACGATGACTATCACCGACCATTCATCCGCCGACCAGGCTACTCATCTTCGGTCACCGGTATCTTCTTTACAGACATCAGTATCAATTCTTCAACCTAGTATGCAATCTCTCAATCATTCCTTTACTGTGAAGCTGCAATCTCGGGCCAACTATTCATCTTGGTGTCTTCAGTTTACTCCTTTATTGACTATGTTTCGTGTTGCCGGTATTGTTGACGGCACCGAACCTGCACCGCCACGATTTCTTCCTTCCGTTAGTGGTGCCGTACCCCAACTCAATCCTGAGTTTGATATCTGGCAGCAAAAGGATCAGTTGGTCCTCTCTTGGATTCTTTCTTCCGTTGCTGAAGAGATCTTTCCCGTTCTCCAGGGCTGCACAACGTCGGCGACTGTATGGACAGCTCTTCAGCAGGGTTTCGGCACTCTTTCTTATGCTCAACAGACCCAGCTTGTTATGGAGCTCCACAGCTTGCAAAAAGGTGACTTGTCGGTCACGGCTCTCCTCTCCAAAGCGAAGGGCATCGCCGATACACTACAGCTTGCCGGTCATCGCATATCTCCTGCGGAGTTTAATACCATAATCTTCCGCAAGGTTGGTGCCGAATTTAATGGCATCATCGGAGCTCTGCAACAGCGATCCGAACCCCCCTCCTATCAAGATCTCCTTGGATAGTTAGTTTCGTATGAGGTGCTTCTTCACGCCCAACAGCCGGTCCTTCAGCCCACGGCCATGCTTGTGCAGTCGCCACCTTCTCCTACGCCGCCTCAATCCTCTCGTCGCTCGCAATGCGGCGGCCGGCGCAATCAGGTTTCTGGTCGTCGTGGTGGTCGACGTGGGTACACCCCTCCCGCTCCGGGTGAGACGTGTCAGCTTTGCGGCATCTTGAATCACACGGCCGCCACTTGTCGACGCCGTTTTGATACTAATTTTGTTCCTCGATCCCCTGCCGTTCGGTCGGCTGCTTATGCCCAGGCAGGTTCTCCTGCACCGCCTTCAGCTGGTTTGTTGCCTCTTCCGTCTTACCCGGAGTCGACTATGTCTCCTCAAGCCCATATGGCGCAGTATGCCCCTTCTGTCACTCCCTGGCATCCGGACACTGGTGCTATCGATCATGTCACGCCAGACTTGTCCTCTCTCAGTATCTCCGATGATTATACTGGTACGGATCATATTTTAGTTGGTAATGGAGATGCTTTACCTATTCAGCATGTTGGTCAATCTGTTTTGCCATCGTTTTCTCGTCCTCTGTATTTAAATCGTGTCTTGCATGCTCCTTCTCTTACTAAGCCTCTGTTATCTGTTCAAAAGTTCACCCGTGATAATCACTGTTTTTTTGAATTTTATTCTGACTCTTGTTGTGTTAAGGATCTTTCAACCAAGGAACTCCTCCTCTGCGGTTGGGCTGATAATGGTCTCTATCGCTTAGATCTTCCTGCTCGTGGTTCCTTATCTCCAGCAGCTTATCTTGTCTCTTTAGGTCAGTGGCATGCTCATTTAGGGCACCCTAATAATGTCACTCTTCGTACTTTGGTTAGGCAGTTTCAACTTCCTTATTCCTCTGTGTCCACGTCCACTGATAAATGTGAGGCGTATTGTTTAGGGAAGTTACATAGGGTCAGTTTACCTTCTACTTTTCATCGTAGCTCTAAACCTCTTGATTTAATTCACACTGATGTTTGGGGTCCTGCTCCTATTTTGTTATTCAATGGTTATCGCTACTTTGTGCTTTTTATTGATGACTTCTCTTTATTCACATGGATTTATCCCATTAAGTATAAAAGTGATGTTGTCCATGTTTTCAAGCAATTCAAAGCTCTCGTAGAAAACCAATTTGGCACTACCATTAAAAGTGTTAACTCTGATTGGGGTGGTGAATTTCGTTCTCTCAATTCTTTCTTTAAGGATGTCGGTATTGTTCATCGTTTAGCATGCCCACACACTCATGAGCAGAATGGCACTGCTGAACGCAAAATTCGTCACATTATCGACATGGGACTTGCTCTCCTTGGCCATTCCAGTACCCCTTTTCGGTTTTGGGATTTTGCTTTTGAAACTGCTGTGTTTTTGATCAATCGCCACCCTAGTAAACCTCTTCAAGGTCACCTACCCTTCACTACACTATATCACCAGCCACCTGATTATACCTTTCTTCGTGTCTTTGGTTGCGCTGTCTATCCTCTTCTTCGCCCTTATAATAAACATAAATTCTCCTTTCAATCTACTCAGTGTGTCTTTCTTGGGTATTCTCCATCTCATCTTGGTTATCGCTGTTTTGATGTGGTGAATAACCATCTTTATGTTGCTCGTCACGTTGAGTTTGATGAGAAACTCTTTCCCTTTAAACTTCCTATTTCTAGTTCTCCTTCTACGCTGCTGAAGTCTCCTGCTACCCCTTGGTTGCGTGTAACCAGTTCTCCTGGTATGCTTGCGTCGTCTTCTTCGTCCCCTTCTAGTACACCAGTTCTTTCGTCTCCTCCTATCCCTCCCGACTCATCACCGTTAGCTAGATCTCCTGCATCCAGCTCTTCATCATCTGATTGCAGTCCTCCGCCGCCACCTCCTCCTCCTTCTTCCCGTCAGCAGTCCATGACACTTCGTCCCCAACCCAAGCCCAAGAAAATCTTTGATCCCTCGGCTCATCTTACCTCTGTTTCCCCAGCCTTGTCTACTGCTCCTACATCTTTTACCCAAGCCAAATCTCTTCCTTAGTGGCAGAATGCCATGAAGGATGAAATTTCCGCCCTCCTCAAAAATAACACATGGACTTTAGTTCCCCCTCCTTCCTCCGGCAATGTTGTCGGCAATCGATGGCTCTATAAGATTAAAACTCATGCTGATGGCTCCATTGAGCGGTATAAGGCTTGGTTGGTGGCTCGAGGTTTTACTCAGTCTTTTGGGGTTGATTACACTGACACATTTAGTCCGGTTGTTAAGCCGGTCACCATTCGCTTGGTTTTGACTGTTGTCCTGGCTCGTGGATGGTCGATTTCTCAGCTTGATGTCAGTAATGCCTTTCTTAATGGAGTTCTAAGTGAGACCGTGTATATGGTTCAGCCACAGGGGTTTGTTGATCCGGTGCGCCCTCATTATGTGTGTAAACTGCATAAGTCCTTATACGGTCTTAAGCAAGCTCCTCGGGCCTGGTATTCTCGGCTGGCAACATTTCTACTTACCTTGGGTTTTGTGGAGTCTCGTTGTGATCCGTCTCTTTTTGTCTATCGCCGTGGGTCTCAGTTGTGTTTTTTGCTGATCTATGTGGATGACATTATTCTTACAGGCAGCACTTCTGGTTTGGTCCAGCATTTTATCTCTTGTCTTGCTAAGGAGTTTTCTCTTTGAGATTTAGGTCCATTGAGTTACTTTCTTGGGGTTGAGGTTCGTCGTACGTCCAAGGGTTTGCTTCTCTCTCAGCGCAAGTATGTCACTGATTTGCTACGACTTGCAAATATGCATACTTGCAAACCTGTTTCCACTCCTTTGCAGGCTAATGTTGTGTTGTCCCGTTAGGATGGTACTCTGTTGTCTCCTGATGATGCGACGACTTATCGTCGGCTGTGTGGCAGTCAGCAGTATACGACTCTTACTTGTCCAGATATCTCCTTTGCGGTTAATAAGCTTTGTCAGTTCATGCATCAGCCTCGCACTTCTCATTTTCAGGCTCTCAAACGGGTTCTTCGCCTATAGTATCTATCTAGTATATTATATTAAGAGAGAAAATAGAGAGAAAACAAACTCAATTCCTAAAATGACACTTCAACAAATATTGTATGTGTCAATTTTTCCAAACCTCTTTTAAATACTCCCTCTGTCCAATAATTATTGTCCAGTTTAGATTTTCATTTCTAGTTTAAATTGTACTAAAAGTGAAATCTCAAACTGAAAAATAATTTTGGGACAGAAGGAGTATCATTTTGTGTAATTGTGAGGATGTCCTTCAATTTTTAGCAAAAATGGTTAATGAGCACGCGACAATAAATTCAAATCAGTCTTCAAAACACACCATTAACACGAAATTAAATAACCAGAAATGAAAGGATAAATCATGATCATGCGTTTATTTCTGACCGTAGACAAAAAAGAAAAATATATTGATAATTTAAATTTAAATTTCAAAGAGGATAAGAATTTTTGTTGTGAAAAAATCATCGTCATTGAAATCAAATTCCTGAAATGTATAGTCACATAATTGAGTTATTCAATCCCCATTATTGTATATATATAAACACATCTATCATATGGGAATTGCATATCACCATCTTCTCCATCCTCCATAACCGCAAACAACCAACGAGGGAAAAAACACCACTATGTCAAGCTAGGGTTAACCATTCCCGACGGGCTCATCAATGATATGCAGTCCTATCAATAGCTATCTATTTAATCATGGTAAAGGTACGTCTAAGTTCCACTGATCTATGAATAAACAACACCTATGTATATGTCTCTCATAAATTTCTTAAGAACTAATTCTTTCTCTATCCAAAATTATTCTGCAAATTGAACAATCAGGTAGGATGGGCAGAGTAATTTACACTCAACAGCACCACAAGCTACCGGCAGCCATGGAGTAGATTCCTTTAATTGGGTTTTTTTTTTTGTCAATTTTTTAAATTTATAATACATCCATTAATCATCGGTTTGGTTTGATTTATTCCGATCATGTAGAATTTCGAAATCAATTCTCAAATCTAAACAAGTACTTTCCATTTACACAAAATTTTGAAATTTTGTTTGAATGTTGGTTTTTTGTATCATTTTTGAAATTCTCTCTCTCATTCTCTCTCTCTCTCTCTTTTTTTTTGGGTTTTGTTTTAGAACACATCAATTTTATTTACAAGAATAGAGGCCGCTTGATCTTGATTGAATGAAAGCTATCGTCCAGGGTTCAGATTGATTTTCTTAAACCCTGGAATCTTTTTTATTTTGAATTTATTTTCTTTTTTCTTTCTTTATAAACCCTCATCATGGAAACGGTGAAATGAAGTGTTTTTAAAAATTCCGATTGTGTATAACACTGTAATTAAGAGAGAAATGGGGTCGGATGTTTAGAGACTTAATGATGAGGTTAAGAAATTATTATTATATTTTTACTTGAAAGTTTTTCTAAAAATCAATTGCTACGAGATAACCAGGAGAGACACCTTTTTTCCTTTTTCATTTATTAGATACTAGTACTAGTCGCCGCATTGCAGGTGTTATAGATTTTTTTTAAAAAATACATTCATGAGCAAAATATTATTATTTATATACCTCACTAGACCACCTTTACCATTGCCACTGACGCCACCCATGTCAAGTAGCGATGACCAGTCGGCAGCTGTCCTGTGGTGGTGGGAAGTGTTAGCGGGGTGGCTTAAATATAAATATAAAAATATCGTAGGGTGGTGTGAAGCGATAGTGGGGTGGCTTTAGTGGTGGTAAAGATGGTCCAGTGGTGGTGGATTAGATAAATATAAGAATATCATTAATGTTATAAAATAAACCAAAACAATAAGAGATATCAAACTGTAAAGAAAGAATAAGTAAGACGAGAACAAGAGAGAGAAGAAAGAATTCATGTGTGTCTTATTCTGTGGAGAATGATCTCCTTTTAAAGATAAAATAGATACAAGGATAACATCAAATAATGATAAGATCTAGCTAACTAAATATTATCTCTATATAGTTGATTC